TGAATACAGCATTATCTAGGATACAGCCTCAGTGACTTTAACACATGAACACACAAATCATGACTGCTACCTCTAAGACAAAAGAAAAGTTGCCACGTTTCAAATATTGAAAGCAGTCGCTCCACCCCGACATGCACATTTCTGTTTGTTTGGAAACATAGTTTCATGTCATCCAGGCTTGGTGAGAACTCATTATCTGACTGAGGCAAGCATTGAACTCTTGAACCTCCTGTGTTGGTTTCCAAAACGCCAAGATTATAGGTGAGCGTCACCATATCCTGCCTAACAATAAAATCTCTAAAATTACTGTTTCCCCAATAAAGCAATCCCCTCTCTACAACAAGACTGAAAATACACATGAACGGCATAGAGGAGATATTGTAAAATAACAGGACAGCAGAGTAACAAAAAAGGCAGGAAGTATCATCAGATACAGCTCAACAAAGAAATAGAAGAGGAAAACAAAACCAAATCACAAAGTAAAAAGCCACAGTGGCCAGGTCACACATGAAAATAGACATTACAGGAAACGTTCTAAGATGACTCGGCTGTTAAGAGTACACACTGTTCTTGCACAGGACCTGAATTCAACACTGCACCAATGTCAGGTAGTTCACAACTGCCTGTAACTCCAGCTCCAGGGAATCTAATGCCTTCTTCTGGCCTCTGTAGAAAAATGCACTCACATACACAAACCCTCACGGACAGACATGCCTACAAATGATTAAAAATTAAAATAAAAAACTTTAAAAGGGACTTCCAACATAAGAATAAACCAGTGACCGGGTGGCGGTGGTGCATGCCTTTAATCCCAGTACCCAAGAGGCAGAGCCAGGCGGATCTCTGTGAGTTCCAGGCCAGCCTGGTCTACAGAGTGATATCTAGGACAGGCACCAAAACTACATAGAAGAGAAACCCTGTCTTGAAAAAACAAAAAAACAAGCAAACAGAAAAAGAATAAAAAGAATAAACCAGCATTTCAAAGAAAAAGAGGTTGACTATAAAATTTTAGTATTGACCCACTATATAATTTTATTCAGGTACAATGTTCCAGGTAAGTATTTCTGAATATAAAAGGCAATAGGAAATGTGGTTCATGCAATCCTTAGAAGCAAAAGCTATGGAACATGATTCAGAGGTGAGCTTTGAATCCATCTGATTGTAGGACTAAAATCAGATGGATTTGAGTAAGACAGTAAAGAAAGAGGAATAGCTACAGAACAGTCAGAATATGACTTTTAGAAATAAATACATCTGTTGAAAATCATATTGCTTTTACTTGTGCTACAACAACCACTAGACATCAACAAAATGGCCAACTATTCACCAACGTTATAAAAATACTGTTTTATTTTGCAGCACTCTGAAGTAATTATGGACATGCTGGTGCTCTTATCAAGTTAAAGTAAAGGAAGTCTTTGATGCATCACGTCCACACAGGTGTTGCTGCTGTTATTTGCTTATTTGGTTTTACAGTTGTAGTCTGATTTGGTTTGCAGAATGAGAGCATAACAAGGGTGGTCACTTCTAAAACTGACTACTCTTGATCTCTAGAGATTTCTCCAGGAAGAACCTGACGGCCATTAGATCGAAAAATTAATCTCCCCCTTCCCCCGCCCCCCCAAGTCATCAAACCACAAGGAACTCTGGTCCTGTTCAAATTCCTCCAGCTTCTCTGGCCTCTCAGAGAGGGAGCCTGGCCTTGGAACCAAAACAGCACTGTACATCATGAAGAGTTCCAGCAGCTCATTTTTGTTTTCCTGTGCCTGAAAACCACGTGCACCACTGGCATGGGTATGCTTTTGCTTACTGGGTGTCAGACACCTTTACCTCTTTGGTCTCTTTCAATCTGCACAAACAGGAAGTATTTTCTTTCCCCTTTGAGTCCAATAATTGCTTATATTTATATTCTTTTGTGTCTAGTTCATAGATCATGGTGTTGATAGAATAAACTAATTTTTAGAAGATCTCATTTTTATGTGTGTGTGTGTGTGTGTGTGTGTGTGTGTGTGTGTGTGTACATGTGTTGAGGTTCTCTTGGAAGCCAGGACAGTGTCAGATCCTCCAGAACTGAAGTCACAGGTGTCTGTGACTCACCCAATGTGTGTGCTGTCTTGGCAAGAACAGCAAATGACCTTAGCTGCTGAGCCATTCCCCCAGCCCAATATAATGGACTTAAACAAGGCACACTCAACCAACTAAAATGCTTTGCTTTGGCTATATATTATGGTGATCTCTAAACTGTTTTGAGCGTACAACATTAGTAAACAGCACACAACTTAATAGCACAAAATCCACAATAGAAATACATGTATTTACAGCCTATATGCACACATGCTACTATATTAACAATTATGTAATTATGAAAATATAATAGAAAATAGCTAAGTAATTTAACATGTGGATTTTATTAGTAGTGGCAAATAACTGTTATCACTAGAAATTATTCATAACATTTAATAACAATGCAATTTAATTTACTTTATTATTTTGGAACATCTTGACTTAATCCTTTCTGACTGAGCAATTTAAAGTTTAATTTGAGACTTGGCTTTAGGAGCTGTCATAGACACCTCATTAAATTATACAGCTCTAAATGAGACCAGGTGAGCATGGCCTTGATGCCTTCAGCTTTTAGTTCCACCCACTGATGATGAAAAGGTTTAACCAGTTTGAATTTGTTCAATTAATATTGTTTTGCTACTGTTGACTGAAACCCGGAAATATTTATCTTTCTTGATATCACAGGTAGATTTTGAAAACATATTAAGGTTTTGGGACTTGTTTTACAAAAATAAATTTTAATTTATTCTCTGACAATTTTATTCATGTACCTTGTAAGGTATTTTGATTGTAGTCATTCCCCATCTCCCTCTGTTTCCCCTCCCCATGCCCTCTGGAATCCTTCTGCCTCCCAGCACACCCCCTTCTTACTCTCATGACGTTTTTTTAATGACTTACTGAGTCTAAGAATGTACACGTGCATGGATGTGGGGTTAATTACCAGTGGCTACACTCCTTCAGATAGATGTCTGGCCAGCGTGGACAACCTAGTGAGGTCCTGCCTACAAGAAAACCTACAGAGTGAGCTGGGTACGTTATCACTCAGTGATAGGGTACCTGTGTAGCATGCAAGAGGTCCTGGGTTTGAGGACCTCAAAAAATATGTTTTTCTTCAAAAAATCTCTACAAGGTAGCATCTACTATAACCATGTATCAAACACTTAAAGGTCAGCAAATTTGGGCAACTCCTTTATATATATTTCTCTATATACATGGAAATAAATGCCAATTTTTAATTCCTCTCAAAATCTACCACTGAAAGGTAGAAATACATTGATATTCACTGTTCATCTCAACATAAACAGATGCTAATATACATTTAAGAACCTGCTTTTACAAAATCACCTACATTCTCCGCATTCACTTTGTATGCATCAGGATACATGTTCTCCTTCAATAGCCTGCTCAATGGCTTGCTTGTGAGCGAGGCAGCAAATGAATTTCATATATGTCACTGTTAATGATAATGCGCACAATCCTTATTCAAATAACCTGCTTGATAATTTCTATTGAGCAGGGCTGGCTTCCGGCCAGATTCCATTCAATTACTTTTCTCCCAAAAGGGAAAATCTGCCAGATGTCCCCCAATATCCATTCCCTCTCTTTCTTCTTCAGTATCAGAACCTCTACTAAGCAGGCACAGGATTGTCCAAAGCCTCTCTCTCCCCTGCAGACACAAGCAGCCTTGAACCTAAGTGTTGGTCACTGGGGCTTAAGGGGTTGATAGAGAACCTCGAAAGAAGATTCAGGGCTTCTGTCCTTTCCTCTCAACTGCTCGTAATTCAGATCATATAGCTGCAATTTCAACAGCCATCCCAGCGGATGAAAAAGCCAGGGGTTAAAGCCACCAGAGAAACAACATGGGGAACCCAGCTCCCTCATAACTATGACGTTATCATTCAGGCCTATGTTTGCCTATGTTTATTGGAGAGAAATACATAAATACCTCTTGTGATCTTTCAGTATTTGGGGTTTTCTGGATGTTGCTAGTAATGAAAGTCTATTTAATGTACTGGTGACAGTGGATGATGGGCTCGAGCTAGGGATCAGAGAAGAGGCAGCGGGGCCACTCTCTCAGGTCTGCACATGCTGATGCTAGTGCCACTGACATGACAGTCTGCAGGTTCCTGACACGGACTGCTTTCAGGCTACTTGCTCGTTTTGAAGAGAGGCACTTAAGGTGTAAACCACAAGTGAACCGATAGCGGCCGCTTAGGAAGCGGGTGAATGAGGGGCCGCCATGGTGCCTCCAGCTCTTCTCTCCACCGTGTCAAATATCAATAAAGCTTTATTGTGACACATAAACTCACAAGGTTCTCCTTTTCTCTCCTTATAAGTCCCTGTCAAAGAGGTAGCTAGACTCACAACTAACGACGGATTTCTCTCCTGGACCATAAAACTAGGTTTTAAGAGGTAAATGTCCAAAAGTGAAAAGTCAGCATAAATGGGGGCTCCCTGTTAAACTAAAAATTCTTGAGAGCAAACGGTAAATACAAGGGTAGACGGTGGATGCAGCAATCTTAGCGTGGTACCTGAACACCTCCAGCACTGTCCTCGCGGGTAGCTTGGGAGCCACTCGACTGAATGCCCTGTTGAAATCTTCTAGAGTTAAAAATCCACGATCTATACAAAAACAAAATATTAAACATTCACTTAATCCTATAATAGGAATTCATTCATAACAGTTATGGGAAGTTAAATTTTAATATATTATTAAAATTAGAAGAAGCAGCAGCAGTAATTTACAGCTGATCTTACACAGGTCATTACACACCCAGTGAACACGTCTCCCTGGAGGAATTTCAGAACGTGGTGGTGATACCCTGTCCTAGATAAGCTGGAAGGCCACCGCCAGCCTTGCACTTTCTGGGTCTCTAAGTCCTAGGGAAAGGATTACAGAGGCCAGACTGGAATGATGCACTAGGTTTCAAGTCTTTGTGATCTGCCAAAACCTTCCAGTCTTCCAAGTTCACTGTGTTCAGCTTGGCATTAGACCTATGACAGATGACTATTTAGGGGAAAATACAACCATAGCCAGCGTATGAATCTTGGAAGCCACACCTAGTGTGGAAAATGACTTTTCCAGTCAGGTATGCATGAAAGCGAGAGTCGCAGAAGTGTCTTCCACATGTCCATGGGTGGCTTGTGGCCTATATCCCCATATGGCCAGTCTTCTGGCTATCACTACTACAACATAGGTATATAAATAGAAACATAGGTGTATATTTCTATATATACAACATAGGTATATATAGAAAAGCACACAAATCCAATTACATGACGGTAACTATTTCATCCAGGGTGTATGCCAGGAACTAAGCATCCCGAAGTAGGAAAGGATCCCCACCAACACCTGTGGCCACAGCCAATGAGTGTGGTAGTGATCTTCCAAGTATAACTGCGCCACTGGGGATCTATTCCCACTCCCAATTCCTCAGCAGCAATTCTTACATGCAAACACTTTAAAGACACTTACAGTGCATGTCGAAAGCTGTGAAGATGTGCCTTATCTCACTGCGATAGAGCTGTGCCTCCTTCTTTCTCTTTACGACATTTAAAAACCCCTCAAGTGATATACCTACAAGATGTGGGGGGAGAAAAACATTTTGCCAGAGATGACTGCATTCCTCTTCAAGAAGAAATAAGCCAGACATGAACAGTGATAAATATCACAAATAATCTGAGTTTTATCTTTCACAAAGGGTATTTACTTATAAACACAGTCAGAAAGACATTGTGTTACACCACACGCTAAGCAAGTCCAACCTCAGCAATCAACAGCGAACACCAGAGATACACAGGCTGATTGAGCTTCTCAAGGATCCGTGACCTTGAAAAAGTGGAACACTCTCCTTCTGATGGATGGATCCAAAAGGCAGGCATGGAACCGCTTATTAAAGAACGTTGCCTAATTTTCCCTCCACTAAGCTGCTTTAGTACTTTTCTTTCCTAGCCAGATGCCATTTCAGCAGGTTGTGTTTCCCCCGACTGGGAGATGGGGTCAGAGAAGTAGTTTCTCAAAAGTCAACACCAATTGTATGCCACAGATAAAGGTGGAAAGAATATTACATAAACAATAGGGCTGGCACCATCCCCAGTCCTGGATACACCCCACAACGTGTTCACGGCCTCAGGCTCAGCTTCCTGCGACTCTCATAATAAAAGAGCCCAGCGTGATGATATGAGGTTGGGTACTGTGCTTACAATGTCTATTAAAATGAATTCTAATGTGATCTTTGTAGCAGGTTTAAGGAGCAGAGCCAAGAATTTAGACATTTTAGTGAACTGAGCCTGAAATATGTAGAAAGAGCAGTTCATTTGCATAATGTAGGATTTCCATTAAAAAGTTATCACTTTGTTTTAAAAATAGCCCCAAACTATGTAAGTATGTGTAACTCTTATCGTTTGGGCGACATAACTAATAATATTGAGCCATATGCCTTTTCCAAAATAGCTTTAAGAGTTTACAATGCTAAAGCAATTTTCTTGGGGCTGGAGAGACAGCTAAGTGGTTAAGAGCACTGACTGCTCTTCCAGAGGACCTGGGTTCAAATTCCCAGCACCCACATGGCAGCTCACAATTGTCTATAACTCCAGCTCCAGGGGACCTGTAGTGGGTAGCTGTTCCACCTATGACCTTGAAGTACCTGCCCATGGGACGTGGCTGCTGAGGACCCTCGAGACCTAGGATGTACATACGAAGCTCTCTCTTTGCTCCCTCATGGTTTTGATGCTGGGGCAGACCAGGCAGATTGCAGGCAGAAGAATAGTGTGGGACTGTGCCTCACCCTTCCAGGATCCTATAAAAAATTCCTCTATTTTGTCTTGTGAGTTTTCTTTCCCAAATAAATTCCTTTGCCCTTAAAGCAGACTCTGTGGCATTCTCACATTATCTGGTGCCCAACGTGGGGCACAAACCCTCGCCCCTGGGATTAAGAGTCTCATGTTCTACCGACTGAGCTAGCCAGTCGATACCAGCATCCGAAATCATGAGGGAGCAAAGAAAGAGAGCCGCAGATGTGCATCCCAGATCTTAAGGGTCTCCAGTGGCCATGCCCCGGCGGGTACTTCAAGGTCATAGGTGGAACAGTTAGTTACCCACTACAGAGACCCAACGCCCATGGCAAAAACACCAACGCACATTAAAATAAACAAACAAACAAACAAACAAACAAATAAATTTCTTAATTTTATTTTTTTCTTATTTGAGATTAATGACTTACAAGCTTTAAAAAAAAATCCATGTAGCTTTACGCTTCTAAATGATTATTTTACAATTTTTAAAGACCCACTATGCGCCAGCCACTGTAATAAATGCTGAAGGGGGAAGGTGAGGAAGAGTGTGATTGCAGTTCCAAGGGAACACGGCGTACTATGGGAGGTGGCCATTGCGCAGTTGGACTGCGAGAGCAGGCATCCCTGAAAAATGGCATGAGCGATGGCGGGGAGAAGCCTGGAAGGTTGTGTGAGAGGCACCCAGGAGTCCCTGTAGCACAGACTGGAGGAGGGGGCTCTTAGAGGGGGAGATACTTAAGCTAAGACCTACACCATGGAGATACAGAAGGAGAAGAGGAGTGGTCCAGACAGTGGAACAGCACATGCCAAGGCCGCGGGGCAGGACACGAAAGGCCACGCAACCAGACTGGGTTCAGGGAGAGAGGAAGAAATACAACACAGAGTTGGCGAAGGGCACAGGGGCCGGGACTCTCAGCCCCTGGGGATTGCAGTAAATAACCGAGGCGGCAAGAGGAAGTCAGGAAAGGGTTTTCATTGCGAAGGGATATGCTCTGATTTAGACCTGGGAAAGGTATTTCGGGTTATTGTTTCTGTGAAAAAGGACTGGGGGTAAAAGCAACCGTATAAAAGGAGAGTGGGGTTAGGAGGCGGGAGCCCTGTGTGCACCGGCAGTGGGAGGGGCGGGGCGGAAGGCCGTGCTTTGGAACAGAAATGACACAACTCGAGGAGGAGGAGTTCGACATGGCGGGTGAAATGTCAAATACAACACTGAGGTTCTGGATTGAGTACTCAGTGGTCTGAGGTGTCAGTTAAAGGCATGAAAAGGCCCAGGGGAAAAGCAGGACCAGGGGACAGATGAAGTGCTGTGGCTTAAATGTGTTAACTGTATGACATTTTGGAGACAGCTGAGAGGAAAAATGACTGGGAGGCAGCTGGCCTTACTCTTTAGGGAGCAGGCATTATCTCCGCGCTACAATGTCCGGCAGGTATTCAATAAATACAGCCATCCATGTCCACTGGGGTTCGTGGAGAATGGGGGTTCCCCCAGAAGGTATCAAAACTGGAGGATGCAAAACTCCCTTAGACTAAATGATGTAGTGCCTGAGTATAACCCTACACAAATGACTTGCAGTAGCGAATGTAACATAATCGCTATGTATATAACTGGACTGCCTTGCTTAGACAACAATGATGAAGAAAAGGTCCACACGCATTCAGCTCAGACGTGATTTTTCTTTTCAGATACTTTCCATCATAGATGGCTGAAGTGCAGCAACTCTGGATACAGACGGTAGACTGTACTGCACTGAATTTGCATATGCAGTTTTTCCTCCTGTAGTTGCTAAGGACAGAGATTGATGCAGCTCCATTCCCATCTAATCACCCCGTGACCAGAGAACATATTTTAAAATGCTAGCTGAGGTTGAAATTGAAGTCTAGCCATGCATGTACCCAAAGATCATATCCATAACTTTAGTTTCATGAACTCCAAAAGCTAATAAATTAAATCACGTCTAGAGTTGTTGAGATTCCTGAATAATTTATTCATAGGTGGTGTGCATTCTGTAAGATCCATCAGATTCCTATCCCAGCCCACGGTCCAGCCCCTTCTAGCAAGCATCCTGGTGCTTCCTGCATCCACAGGCTCTTCATGCAACCTGTACGACCCATCAGCATCCTACCCCAGCCCAAGATCCAGCCCCTCTAGCAAGCATCCTGATACTTCTTGCATCCATAGGCTCTTTGCACCTAGTGCCCAGACACACGTAAATACATTGCCTGAAAGCACCTATTGCTTTACTTCTCCTAGTGAATTTTTAATCACACATCTTCCAGATACAACTGAAGCATTTCCTCCACTTTAAAGGTCTCTGATGTCTCTCAGCTGAATTCCTTTGCTGTGACCAAAAGCCCAGAGGTCACAACACACTCAAGGAAAGGCTTGGGCCCCTATGGCAGTGGCCTGACTGACTGTCTAGCTGAGAGATGCTAGGGAAAAGGAATGTGTGCTGTTTAAAAGTTCATCCCCAGTGTTTAGCACGAAGCCTGTGTGCAAGAGCATTCATTACATGCTTTCTGGGTAAGTAACATGTACTGACTAAATAAGAATGATCATGGAGATATCATTTCCAATTCTCAACAAAAAACAAAACATTAAGATGTGTGTTTTGAATCATCTTTAACTCCAAAAAATAACAGCAAAAAGTAAGTCATATTTATTTACATGGCCAGTAAAATGAACCATCACTTTAGGGAAAAAACAGAATTCAGAGAGAAAGAAAACATACTCTGATCACTGCAGCTCACTCAGAGAAATGAGGGGCGGAGTTTAGTCGCATGGTTCCCTGTGTGATTCATAAGAAACGGGAGCATATGAATGCTGTTGTCTTCTTAATTACATATTCAGATAACACATCCATAGTTGGAGTTATAAAGTATGCAGGTCATCATTTCACAATTGTATAGTATAAAAAGCAAATGTTCTTTAGTTTTTAATAGGAAAAAATACTTAAATTATATGTTTACTACCACTTAAAATGAAAAACAATCTAATAACTCAAATAACACTATTATGAATAATCATGTCTTTTCATACTCTTTTCCCCACAGAGTCATATTCCTCACATTTTAAACTCAGTGGTGGGTCAGAGGCACAGGGTATACTGTGTAAACACATGATCCCCAGCATGGCCTCAGGCTGTTTTCCAGGGCAGAATACATCCAAAATGCAAGCCTCTTTTCTGACAACTAGGTTTTCATTTAGCGCAGCTTTCCTGCTGCAATACTACAATTGCTTTCCAATGCTAACACTTAATAATTGACTATTCTAAAGCTTTGCAACAAGCACAGTGACGTAAGGGTTGTAGAGCTCGCTGCCTTTTCAATGGCCTAGAAACAGAACTCCTACTACTGGCTCCACCTGCTGTCGCAATATTCAAACCAAAAATCACCACTTCAAAAAGACTCTCAATAACTCCATTTATGTCCAATTTTATACCCAATGCATTATCTGTGCCCCCCCACACCCTGAAGCAAAAGAGCATGCTCTAGAAAATTCTAAATTCAAACACGATCTTGAGTTCTCTATGTACACTGCTCCACTTAAACAGTTACCTACACACACACACACACACACACACACACACACACACACACACACCCCTCTGGAGTAACAAATCAGGACCACGATACTCCTGACACGAAGGGTTTCAGCGTCTGGATGTTTGTGTTCTCTAACAGGTCTACAGAGGCATATATAACCTGCCAGTGTACCCAGACTCTACGGGTGTTTTATAAATTTTTTTTTTCTGTTAGCAAGATCTTTTTTAATAACAAGACAGT